TATATATATATATTTTTCTAAGCAAATAGTTTTTTGTACTTTAATATTTTACAATTTTGCTACAATGTGTGTTTAAATGTAACTAGTGTACTTGAATTTGTTTAGTTAATCAGGATCTTGTGATTCCCTATAATGCAGCAACTCAGACTGGCAGAGGGCAAGTCAGTGCTATGAGCCAAGCAGGTTCTGCTGAAGTGCACACGTGCTAATAGAAGAAGAGAGCAGAGTGAAGGATGAATTTGGTGTTGCTGATGTGTGTCCAGTCAGCATGCTGGCAGTGTGTCCTGGACAATCTGTTCTGTGAGGGCAGGTTCACACCATTTTCCGGACCAGATCTGTTCTGGAAAATGGTGTGAACCTGCCCACAGTTCTAGTGCATTCCAGACCAGACAAAATGAGACGCGCAGTATTTTTCGGGTCTGGTCTGGAACCGACTGCGCTGGTGTGAACAGAGGCCAGAAATAGCATAGGGATACATTAGGATGCATTTTGGGTCCAGAAACAATCTGATCTGGTCTGGAGAGGATCTGGATGTGGTGTGAATGGGCCCTTAGTGTAGTGGATGTCCTGGACCTGACTATTGTTAGCAGGGCTGCCATCAGGGGGGTACGGCCAGTACTGGTGTAAGGGGCCCAGGCGGCTGGGGGGGCCCAGGCTCCAAGCAAGCATTTTTGTTATAGAACTGATTGTTAGGGAGAGGTACCTGTATCACTGGATTGGCTGAGCCGGAGAAAGGAAAACTATTCAGATCAATGGGAAAAATATAAAGTACAAGTCCCTTATATTGACATATCGGATGGACCCCATCCCCCGAATGAATTATCCTGGTAGTCTTATTAATCGGTTGTAAAATACAGATCAGCTCTACATACTAGTATTAGACATAGTCGGAGCAAAGTGCGTGGGCTATCGCCTCCAATTACCAACAAATGAATGGGGTAAAAACCCGGCGCCGTCTATTTTAGCTGATCGTGGCATCCGTCACGGCGTCTATTTCATTCAACTCAAATTTCGTGGAAATGAGGCATTGAGCATCTGTGGGTAATTATTCCATCATGCTAATGGTACGTTCCATACGTTGATTTGTGGCGCTTTGTTAGCGAGAGGAAGCAAGCAACGTATCAGTCAATTAAACTGAATTAACGAAATCCACCGCGGATCCTTGCCAGCAGTGACTTTTAAGTAGTAAGAAGCAAAATGTCTTCAGTCTTTTATT